CCACCGCCTCTCTCTCTTTCTCTCTTTTTTTCTCTTTTGCACCTTCCGTCCTACCTTCCCTATCCTGCTCCTCATTGCTCTGGTCCACACCCTTTAACACCCTCCTACCTTACCCATTCCTTTTCCTTCTCTTTCCCTCTTCCCTCTCCTCCTTCATCCTTGCTCCCTCCGCTCTCCCGCATCCCACATCTCCGCTCTCCCGCTCCCACATCTTCGCTCCCACAAGCCTTCCTGGTCATTTCTCATTCTTCCCTCCTTGTTTCCCTCGTCCCCCTCCTCGTTCCATCTCATCCTCCTACCTCTGGCACCCCCAGACGTGTTGGCAGGGCGGGCCGGGCGTTTCGAAGATACCCTCTCGCCTTTTATGATCTTGAGGAAATGTGCAACCGTTTCACGGATTGAAGGCGGGCCGTTTTCAACATGTTGTTGTTTCTTGAGTTCAGGCCGCGTTCGCTTAAAAGCCCCCAACAGTTTTGAAGGATGCATGGCGGATCTTTCAAAATGTGATTGTTTCAGCGCCGCGCATATTCGTTCTCAAAGCCAACAACATGCACATTCGTCTACAAGGCGCCAACCACCAAATTCACAAAATATTGCTCTAGCTTTAGCGTCGCGCGCATTCGCATTCAAGTCAAAGTTTGCAACAGTTTCACGTGTGGAGGGCGAGTCGTTTGCAACATGTCGTTTTCGCTTTAGCACCGCGCGCATTAGTGTTCAAAGTTGTTTTTCAATTGTGGCTGTCGCTGTAGCGCAGCGCACACTCGTGCTCAACAGTTTTCAATACTGCTGGCGGTTAATTTTCAAAATGTGGCTCTCACCCCAGCGCAGCGCACACTCGTTCCATACGTGTGCAGCAGTTGGGTTAATACGGTTGCAGTCCCAGGAATGGTCTTCTGTCACGATATAAGATTGCCAGGACGCAACAGTACCATGGACTCGCGGCGTTGACGTTCCAGGAATGAATGATGTATTGGCGCGATTGATGCTCTCAGTCTGTTCTCTTCCAGCGGGGCAATGTGTCAAAGCAAATAGCTCTTGCAGAGACATCTGAAGAGATGGGCTTGGAGGCAGGATTTCTTGCAACATTGTGAATGCGCCATGTGTTTACACTGGTCCTCCTCCCTCCTCCTCCTCCTCCTCCTCCTCCTCCTCCTCCTCCTCCTCCTCCTCCTCCTTAGCCTACTCCCTCCCTCCTGCCGCCGCCCCTGCTGGTCGTCGCCGCCCCGCTGGTCTGTGCTGGGCGGGCCTAGTGCCCCATGGCAAGCTCGGGCTCAGGGCTGGGCAGCCCTCCTCGCACTGAGGGGCTGGCGTGCGGGATGAGAGTTCCGTTGCACCTGGCCCACGGGGCGTGAGCCACTCGCCCATCACGGCACGAGGACCGCCTCAATGCCTGATCCGACCGACCTGCCGCCGAGTGCGGAGGCGGGCGGAGGGCAAGTCCAACTCTCGCCCCAAGCGAGCGTCGGCCCGAGCGCGTGTGGCTCGTCATCCCCCCAGTCCCTCCCTCCCTCCCCCCTCCCTCCCTCCCTCCCTACCCCCCCCCCTTTCCCGCCCCCCCGCGCGACCCCGCCGCCACCGAGTCTGTCAGCGCCTCTGAGCTGGCGCGCCTCGGACGGGGCGAGGACGAGGACAACTCCGTTCCAGAGCCTCCCGGAACGCTCTCAGAGCGTTCCGGATCGCTCTGAGGAGGCCGCGACGCCCGACACATCCTCCGGAGCCGCCGGGCGTCTCGGAGATTCCCGACTCAGACATCTGGCTGCTCCAATTTTTTCGATGCGTGGGCCCCTGAGGTCTGGACCACTTCCCCGGAGCCGGTTTTTCGTCCTGAGTCGTTGGTTGACGCTCCCGAGGCCCAGCGAGGGCCCCCGAAGGCCGAAAACGGCGAAAATCCCGCCGCCTCAATTTCTGCCGGTGCGTCGGATATCTGGGGATGCACCCTCACCCGATTGTTTTTGTCCTCGTCCTGGCTTCGTCTCCCCTCTCGGGGGCGGCAAAGAGGGGGGATGACTAGGGGGGGGTATCACGGCGAATACTGCCATGAGATCTCCCCAGGTTTCATGGCGCCTCTTCGTATTTCAGTACGCTCCCTGGCCCCCCCCCCCTTGGGCCGCGCACGCGCCGCCGGCCATGATCTGCGCCCCCCCCTCGCAGACGCCCCCCTCTTGGCCGCCCCCGCCTTCTCGAGGGCGCTCGCGCGGCGCCGCCCCCCGCGGGGGTGGGGGCTCCCCCGGGGTGCCCCTCCCCATGGCCGCGGCCGCCGCCGGGCGGGCGGGCGGCGGCCTGTGCGGATGGCGGGCGCGGCTGCTCCCTCCCCTTTCCCTGTTGCACCTCCACCTCGTTCGCCTTCCTTCATGAGGGGAAAAAACACACAGGAACAATGAATCGTCGATCCCCCAAGAATATAGGGAAATATGGGAAGTGAGGGAAGACAAAACCCCCAAATATAGGAAAGTATAGGGGAATATCTTTATTTGTGTGTATTTATTTGTGTGTCCTGGGGCCCCTTCATTCCTCTCATCTCGGTATCGTGTAAACGATCCTCATCCCCATCCCCATCCCCTTGCGAGACCCCCGCCAAATTGCCACCCCAGTTGGGGATGTACCCCTCGAAACCTGAAGAGAACGACCCATATCCTCATCTGGGGGGGGGGGTAAACCGGCCAGCGGGGCCAAGGCCACGCCGCTGGGGATGGGGATCGGTTAAACGATACTCATCCTCCTCCCTCCTCCGTTGCCCAGAGATCCAGCGTATTGCACACATCGAGGCGGAGGTTTCTCGCCGTTTTCGGCCTCTACGGGACTTCGGCGGGCCTCGGGACCGTCAAAAAAACACTCGGGACGAAAAGCCGGTCCTGGGGAATGGGTCGAGGATTCTAGGGACCCCGTATGGAAAAATTATCCTGGCGAAGGACCCAACCATATGCAATTGTGAGTACCGCAATTGTGAATATCTTCTTCGGTGGCGCTCCCTATGGGGCCACGAAACGTGTAAGGGTGTGCCGAAATGGGTGTGCGGGACGCATGTGGGCACACTCACTGGGGCCTTCGGTGGAGCTCCCTATGGGGCCACGAAACGTGTGAAAGGTGTGCCGAAATGGGTGTGCGGGACGCATGCGGCCACACCCGCTGGGACCTTCGGTGGAGCCCTCTACGGGGCCACGAAACGTGCGAGGGGTGGGCCGAAATGGGTGTGCGGGACGCATGCGGGCACACCCACTGGGGCCTTCGGCGGAGCTCTCTATGGGGCCACGAAACGCGTGAAGGGTCACGAAACGCGAGAGGGGTGTGCCGACATGGGTGTGCGGGACGCATGCGGGCGGCAGCACTGGGGCCTTCGGCGGAGCTCCCTATGGGGCCACGAAACGTGTGAAGGGTATGCCGAAATGGGTGTGCGGGACGCATGCGGGCGGCAGCACTGGGACCTTCGGTGGAGCCCCCTACGGGGCCACGAAACGTGCGAGAGGTGTGCCGAAATGGGTGTGCGGGGCGCATGCGGGCACACCCACTGCGGCCTTCGGTGGAGCTCCCTATGGGACCACGAAACGTGTGAGGGGTCACGAAACGCGTGAGGGGTGTGCCGAAATGGGTGTGCGGGACGCATGCGGGCACACCCGCTGGGGCCTTCGGTGGAGCTCCCTATGGGGCCACGAACATGTGAAGGGTATGCCGAAATGGGTGTGCGGGACGCATGCGGGCGCACCAACTGGGACCTTCGGCGGAGCTCCCTACGGGGCCACGAAAAGCGTGAGGGGTGTGCCGAAATGGGTGGGCGGGACGCATGCGGGCGGCAGCACTGGGGCCTTCGGTGGAGCTCCCTGTGGGGCCACGAAACGTGTGAGGGTGTGCCGAAATAAATATGCGGGACGCATGCGGGCACACCAACCGGGACCTTCGGTGGAGCTCCCTATGGGGCCACGAAGCGTGCGAGGGGTGTGCCGAATTGGGTGTGCGTGACGCATGCGGGCGGCAGCACTGGGGCCGTCGGCGGAGCTCCCTATGGGGCCACGAAACGTGTGAGGGGTGTGCCGAATTGGGTGTGCGTGATGCATGCGGGCGGCAGCACTGGGGCCTTCGGCGGAGCTCCCTATGGGGCCACGAAACGTGTGAGGGGTGTGCCGAATTGGGTGTGCGTGACGCATGCGGGCGTCAGCACTGGGGCCTTCGGCGGAGCTCCCTATGGGGCCACGAAACGTGTGAGGGGTGTGCCGAATTGGGTGTGCGTGACGCATGCGGGCGGCAGCACTGGGGCCTTCGGCGGAGCTCCTATGGGGCTACGAAGCGCTGTACTGGGTGGGTGAAACGCAGGGAAGAGTGGGAGGAGGGAGGAGGGGGAGGAGGAGGAG